TGGTTGCTCGGGGAACACATTGGAGTCAGATGTGCATGGAGCGTGTTTCTAAGTCGCTTGTGGAGAAATGTCCTGGGTCGTGCGTAGCGAGGAAATAGGAAGCTATTCTTGTGGGATGGAAGAGGGAAATAGTGAAAACGAAGAAAATTGGGAGAGAGTAGAGTCAAAAAAATGAGAAAAAGCGGAGAAAACAGAGATCAATTGAAGGAGAGTCCAGTTCAGAACAGTCAAGTGATGAACAATCTATAAATTCCACAGGAAAACAAAATTATTACAAATTCATATTCAAACTAGTTAATCAGGGAGACTCTTTTGCAACTTGGAATCCGGTGCAGTTAACAAAAACGATAAATAGACTTGTAGGAGAAGTCTGAAGCGCCAGAATACTCTATAGCTGAGACCTATTAATCAACTGCAGAGACAGCGCTCAACAAGGCAAAGACATTTGGATTAATAATATTGAGGGGAAAAGAGCAGTGTTGTATAGTAACAAAGTAAAAATACTTCACTACTGTACTTAAGTATATTTTGGAGTACTTTATACTTTCCAAGAGTATACACTTTTTTGAGAACTTTCACTTTTACTTCTCTACATTTACGAACTAAATTGCATACTTTTACTCCGATACATTTTCAATGTTTGGTTTAGTTACTAAGTAAAAAAAAAAAAAAAACGAGCGAGAGAAAGTGTTTTGACGCCACCTACTGACTACAAAGTCGGGTCTTGCCTGGGCTTGTTCATCAACACCAATAGGATACGCCTGTTTCGCAAAGCCAGTATAAATTTATTCTACACTTGGTTGTTTATATTATTTTAAGTGAATTTAACCCTTCAAAGTTTACCAATATGTAAAAATAAAATGTCATTCAAACTGCACTACTTTCTTCTTATACTTTTTACTACATTACTTGAGTACATCTATTTTTACAGTAATTCTTATACTTAAGTACAAGCCATTTCAGATACTTTAAGACTTTTACTCAAGTAGCATTTCAGTCAGTGACTTGGACTTTTACCAAAGTCATATTTTGGAGAGGTACTTATACTTTTACTTGACTCTGAGATTTCAGTACTTTATACAGCACTGGAAAAGAGTTCAGTGCAGCTTAATGGAGAACAGAAGGATTGGCAGGAGAGTCCTTGGAGGAGTTCATTTTAAAAGTAACTGACAAAGAGATTCTAGAAAACATAAGTGGTGCAAAAGTAAAAGAAGTGAAACAGTTAAAAACTACAAGAAATGGAGAAAGGTGTGACAGCTTATCTTTCTTAATCAAATTTGAAGAAAAGCATTTAAGGCTTTCATTCGTTACATGATCTACCCTGTAAAAATGTACAATCCTCCAGCTCTAAGATGCTTCAAATGCCAAAAACTTGGACATATAGCAGCAGAATGTAAAGGGAAACAGCGCTGTGGAAGGTGTAACCAGGGCTGGAGTCCTTTTGCTGTTTATTGTTCAAGGGGAGATGCTGCTTATTTACAGTAAGACTAATATTTTAATATTTGTAACACATTTTAGGAACAATCTGTTGTGGTGCATAAACCTGTAGGGAAACTGTAATCTTTCTTTATGCACTATAAGTTACGAATAACAAATCTGTTAAAAGCTCAGTAATGAGTAACTTCATTTTGACTTTTACAAATAATTGGTTACAGTGCTAGTTACTTGAAAAGGAACCTAGTTTCTGTAACACATAACTTAAAGGTATAGTGAAGGATTTTCTTTTTGTGGATGGATCCTCCAAATAAGTGGTCCTCATAACTGTCAATCATTGTAGTGATATGCGTATAAAAGGCCGTCCTACGTGCTTGTCCCTATTATCACTTACCAATGGTGATTCTGATATAGTAGAAAAATTTCAGATCTTTTGGAAAGTAAGCTTGTATGAACGATGCAAAGAGCAAGTTTTAAACAGAGCGTGCACGAGGAAAAATGGGCTTGCTATTGCATGTGTTTAATAGGTGATCCCTCTCGGGAGCGGGTACAGGGTTGTCCATGTGCAGTTTTTCTATTTTATTTTTTCTACTTCTTTTGTCTAATATTTTCATTTATGTTCTGATTTTAAAGATTAAACATCTTTCTTCACAGTTTGCTACAACCAGCCATCATAGGAGAGCATCTATTTTATCAACTTTAACAGCATTTTCTATCAAAGTCATCCCACTTATCCTTCAGATCAAGACATGTTTATGTTATCTGTGTCTGATCCTGGAAAGCTTTATCAATCACTAGTTTTTTCTCACCAAAGCCCTCCAGAATAAATGTATGATTGGATGTCCTAGCATCTGCACTTGAATAGTGTCCATTAATATGTACAGAGTAGAGAGAGAGTAGAACATGATAAATTCTACAAGAATCAGATAGTTGATACATTTAAACCATGAAATGCATTGAAGAAATCGTGGCACACAGTTCATCTCAGGATAATAGAATTATTTGATCCCTGATTCTGCATTTAAGGTGGATGTGACTTTACATCCGCCTTAAATGCAGAATTTAATAAGGTCATGAAAAAAAGAGCATCATTAAATACAGATTTTACACAGTTCATACAGTAAATTGCAATATAGAGACAGATCCCTATTAAAGTCTGCAGGTAAAAAGAAACATTTTGAGGTATATTTTAACATTTACCAATATTACATAGACAGAGTTTGTCTTTACTTTTATAAAATTGCATAATTAATGCTAAAAGATGAAAGAGAAGCTTGATTAGCTTATTTTAGAATTAAATACTTCAGAACAGACACATTAGTGCTGCTTTGTGCTCATAAACTCTGTCATACCTAATTACTTTAAAACACTTTAAAACAAATATTAGTTGCATCAAAGTTCTGCATAAAACGAAAACATCCAAGATATAGATGCATACTTATAAAAATAATCATGTGGCAGTGAAAGTTACAAATTAACTAACCTTGGAGATGCTCCAAATTAAGAATTAAACAACTATAGTTCGAAAAAATACATATATACTAGTGTATATATGTTTATTTAAATCATGTCAGCATAATACAATCCATATTTATAAACACACACAAAAACACGGTCATGTCTCTTTACTGGAGTCTTCAATAATAGTCTTTTACATTCACATTGAGTCACACATTTAAAAGGACATGTTGGAAAAATGTAATAATATAACCAGAAAATCACTCCGTTTTATTAAACAAATGAAAAAAAAAAGTCAGATTTGCATTTATAATCAAGTTAGTTGGGTTCCTAAATTCATCACTGCACAACTGTTTATTTAAAAATGTGGATAGGATGACATCAGATCATTTAATCCAAATTCACGGATTAATATTTAATTAAAGATATTTTCAGTTTACAGGTCTGTTAAGAGTACAAAAGGTCATCTTCCATCATATATGTTATCTACTTCCCTCTCTACAATGTACAAATAGTACTTTGTACCTGACATACTTTACATCATATATCTCAACAAAAACCTTTGCCCCAAAAAGCCCAACCAAAAATGTACATTTTAATTTACCGCTGATAAAGTGGCTGCCAGGCTGCTGCTGCTTCTTTTGAAATGTTGGTTTGCTTGTGTGTTTTTTTTCTTTCTTTGTATGTGATGTTGGATGTTTGTATATTTTCACGTTCTGAAGACCTCGAACCTGGTGTTTAAAAAAGAACAAAAAAAAATGCTGATCCATGTCCAGTCTTTTCCTGTTTTTAAAAATTGTGATAAAATAAACTTCTGATGTAACAAAATGCTTATTTTTAAGCTGTAGCTCTATTATAGTGTGGCTCCACAGTATAACAAAAATCCTCAATTTATATTAAAACTCTGGCATCTGTTTTTTACTGCCGAAAATTTGGTCACAATGTTTTAGCATTTATGGTATAATTTGTAGGCTGTAACAATGAAGTGTTATTTGTTTACAGCAAATTAAGTTATGTGTAAAAATCAGTGTTTTTTTAAAGAACCACTACTTTCTGCTCCCAAACACTTCAGCAAATGCATCGTAGTTCATATTAACTTATATTTAATTTCCATTTCGAGTTGTAAAATAGAAATAGGGTTTTTATAGTACTTTTACAACAACTTTATTAACAATGATCAGGAGCCTGAACAATGGCTTTAAACAGGACCTATTAATAATAACAGCAACCTCACTCATTACCAAATAGTCAGCCAATGGAATGCATCGTTATAATGATCGATTATGTAACCCTCAGAGATAGAGAGCAAAAAAAGTTATTTAACTATAAAACATTATGGAACTTTTCTAAATTTTACATTTACTCAAGATTTGGAATTACAGCTCTGTATTTTATATCATAACTATACAATACTTAAAATGTTTTTTTTTTGGGGGGGGGATTCAAAGCAATTTATTTACTATGGTGAGACAGTTTTGGTTTTAAAAATAATATACTGTATTTTCCGGGCTACGAACGGCTACTTTTTCCCCACGCTTTGAACCATGCAGGTTTTAAGAAAGTTAAGCTTTTCTGTTTTTTTTCATAATTAATTGAAATAAGGGGCTAATTTATATTTAGCACAAGAACATGCTAGTTGACGACACGACGGAGAACAAACGTCCCAAATTCACACATTTTGACATTTATTTGCCTCATTAAAGCTGGTGAACCGATGAAGAGACTGTGCTTAACTCCTGCAGAGCGGAAATAAAGAGCTGATATTAAAACTGATGATTTAAAGGAAAAAATAAACAAGAAGATGTTTGTTAGTCTTAGAAATAAAGCTACAGGAAGCTAGAAAAACAGCTTCATAAAATTAAAGTAACTCATTTCTGCAGATTCTAGATATATTTGCAAAATAATTCACAGCTTTGGCTCCATTAGAGTACGGAAAGAGAAATGAAGAAAAAAACAAACCTGCCAAATGCTGTTAAAGCAAAAATTGCTACACAAAATGAGAAAAGTAACATTTTTTACAGAGGAAAATTTTTGTATCTGTGGAAATTTTGTCATGATTTTCATTATCGTGTCAATTTTTTGAAATGTTGGATTGACATAAAAAATTAAACTAGTGCAAAAAAAGAAAGACTCCACCAATAAAAATTTGTTTTCCATCGGCATTGTGACTCTGAAAAGTTCAATATTTTCATTTTCCATAAAAGCAGCTAGAATTAGGGGGTCTTTCGTCATCCTTCCTGAACTCTGAAACATTTCTTTCTAATGTTGCATGTTTATAATAAGAAGTAATAATTGACCATTTCATGTGATGTAATTATTCATGAAAATTTAATAAGATAAAATCAAGGAGATGGATACCAACTATGGGTTTAGTGTACTGATAAAGACAGAGCTACCTGAAAACAACACGGAGCCTAAATGCTGTTTAATGTTAAACTTCTCTGACTGACCTTAGAAGAAGATGATATTAAATAAAAGCCTGTTGGGATCTAAAAAAAAAAAAAAGAATATCCAGAAAACTCTACAGATGTGTGAAAGTTCACTTAAATACAGAAATAAACAACTGGAGGGAATGATGCAGTTTATTCAACAAGAGGTTGTTGAGCCGATGTTCATCGCCTGGTGGAATGGCGAGCACTTCCCTGCGCTCTATCGCCACTGTGACCCGTCGCCAACATCACCTCTTCTAGGAAACTGTTGAAAACAGAAAAAGTATGATTAGATTACAGTTTTTACATCAAATTAAACAAAAAAAAATTTTAATGTTTCATTTTAAATGTACTTTCTTTTCTGTATATCGAAATATATAAAAATCAGTGTTTTTATTATATTAGGTCATTTTTCAAGCAAAAACAAGAAAATCTAATTCCGATCATATGATAATGCACTTTTAGCCAATCTTCCTGAGTGTTTTCACAACTAGTGGAGAGAGCTGATTAATCCAACTTTTTCCATATCCTGTCAAAAGAAAAGCACAGACATCTTTTCCATTTACAAATGCACAAAATGCTTCTCTTTGCTCCTTTTTTAAACAAGAAATTTTCGCTATTTTAGCTAAAACCAAGTCAATTGTGGCATCGACAGGTGAGTCCTCCAAATTTTTAATGCACCGGCAAGTCCCTTCTGACTGTCATCATTCCTACATGTCCCGCCCCAAAAAATACTGCCGGCATGTCATTGGTCCGACTCGCTGGTTGTTAGGAGATGGACGTATTAGGGGGAGTCTTTCAAGATGGATTTGTTGTGAGACTGAAAAAAAAAATATTTCACAACAAATCCATTACTTCTAGAACTAAAACTGTTTCTTTCATAGAGTTCCTGGTTCACAAATAAAATAACTAAGATAGGAAAATCTGAAGTCGTTCTGCTTTTGATTGATTATTAAGTTAATAACTGAAGTACTTCAATGAGCTTTTACTCGCTCAACTCTCTTTTAGGTCACCCGGTCAGCTGCTCCTGTGAGAGCCCTAAACTAAGTGGAAGCTCAGAGGGGACCGCGCTTTCACCGTTGCAGCTCCAAAGCTCTGAAATGACCTGCCTCAGTACATCAGACAGGCCTCTTCTCTGACTGTCTTGTAAAAAGCCACCTTTTGACACCTAGCAAGACAGTGGGCTTTATTTTATTTCATCGTTGTATTCATCGGATTTTATTGCTTTGATTGTGTGACTGTTATTCTTTGAGCTGTTTTGTCTTATTTGTGATGTCTTACTACAGCACTTTGGTCAGCTGTAGTTGTTTTATAAGTGCTTAACAGATAACATTGGATTGGAACTAAATTGATTTCTGGAGTTCCACAAGGATGAGTGTTCGAGTCTTCGGTTTTTTACTTGCAGAAGTGAATCTATCGAACTAAAAGCAAACATCACATAAACATCCGACACCTCTTAGTGTTGTGGATTGCACTTCCTCCCAGGACGATCCGAACCCCGGGGGTATTACGGTTCAGGTTGTAAACAGTCAAAGCTTCTTCATATGTGGCTCCACCGATCAGGAACACCATAATGTCTTGAGGCCTGGAAAATATTTTCATAACGTGACTTTCCAGAGAGAGATATCTTATAATCTGCATTAACTTTAATTATTAAAGCCCTGAATTATATAACCCACAATGTGACGAGTATATCAGAGAAAGTGATTTATCTAAGGAATGCAGTTTTTCAGTGTGTTACCTGTCTCTGAGGCTGCTGGCCCCCAGGTATGGGAACTGACTGTCTTTGAGTCGACCTTTAATCAGCTGATCCAGAGTTTCATGCAGCAGAGGCTGATGTTGTGTATACACGTTTTCTACACCCTGAGAAAACAGATTAATAAATGCATGTTTTTCGCTAATCACTGTATTATGGTATAATAAAAATTTATGCTTCTTCAGGTTAATTTCAAAAAGTTAGAAACATAAAATATATTGCTTTAATGTGCTTTTATACCTTAAGTCCTTTGAAGAACTGTTTGGTGATAGCAACAGCATCTGTGGGTGTGATGAGGTCACTTCCTCTGATTCTCTTCCCACCGTACTCCACAACCGACTGAACCATCTGCGACAAAGATCAGCAATGACATTTTTAGCTCCCTTAGACTTTTGCTGCCACCCAGCGACAAAAGGAAAGCATGAACGTATGCTTAGTTTAACATCAGGTGCTTTGATTACCCTGCGGTAACGTTCAGACACTCCCCTCCTGCTCAGCTCCTCTATTAAAGATGTCAGGATGCTGCTGCTGTGGCGCTCATATCTCAAAGCATAGAGCATGACGAGACGGACCGCGTCCAGCTCTGAGACACGAGGATTCTGCAGTAGCCTTCGCACATTCTGAGAGAAAACATGTCTGAACTTCATGTAGTTTTTGGGAAATGGTTTAGATTTAGAGATGGTAAAGAAAGTGAGTAATCAGCAGCGTTACCTGCTGAGCGCTAGAGTGATCATTCTGACAGGCCAGCTCCTGCTCCACCTCTGACACCTCCATCAGCTGCCGCTCTGCCACCAGCCGGGACAGCTCCCCTACCACCGTCACATGCTTGGAAACGGTTCCTGACATCTTCTTAAATTGGGGGTAGTTATCCACAAACGCCTGCGGGAGACGAAGAAATCAAACGTCTACATTCATTCTTAAAATAATGATTGATCCACTGACCAACCTTCATGTCAGCAATGGACTCCAGCTTCTGCTGTCCTTTAGGTTTCTTCTTCTGGAAATCTTCCATCAAGTTTTTAATGTTGGTTCCAATTTCCCCAAAATTCAGGTAGAGGTTCTAAAGTTGGAAGGAGGAAAAATGTAACTGAAAACACCAGCAAGAGCAACACAACAAAAACAGTTTGTTTAGACACGTTATAAAATGTTAAATCATAATTTCAGATAATTAGCTTCAGAATTGCTCAAACCAAATTCTTTATTTGTACCCTACAAGCAGAAAAACCTTTATAACTTGGCTGAAATTTCCTACTGTTCTTCAGACTATGGAGGGAATTTTGTTCCATTATTGTTGCAGGAGAGAACATAGTTTGTGAATAAACATAGAAAAGTAAATAATAATAATAATAATAATAATAATAATAATAATAATAAAAACATTTTGTAAACCGAAAATTGTAAAAAAAATAAAAATAAATAAATAAATGAATAAATAAAATTTCATCAAAATACGGCTTTGTTTTCTCTGATTTATTTTTCCGATTTAGTCTTAGAATTTAATTTTTTTCCCCAAGTTTTATTTATGTCATTTTTTTCACAGATGTAATATTTTCAATTTTCTCCAACCTTCTAAAACTCTCGAGGTGAAGAGAATATGATCTGTGAAACGGAAAGGAAGAATGGAAACAAACAGAAAATGGATAAGAACTGAAATCACAAATATTAATCGGATAAACAAAAAATCTGTAGAAAGAATAAAAATATATAGTAAAGTAAAAAAAATATATATAATCAGTAAGAAAATAATACAATGAAATTGTAACTAAATGTAATAAAAATGTAAAAATAAATTTGAAAAAAAAAATTTGAGAAAATAGCAAAATTAGTGTCAAAACCCTTTTTCTATTTAAACAGTTTTAAAGGCTTTTATTGCTGGATTGTATTATTTCAAATTTTAATTTCAATCTTCAACTTTTTTTTTTTCAAATTTCCAACTGGTAAAACATGTTCTTTGCTTGCAACAATAGTAACATAAAATTCACACAATTCAATACTTAAATACACATGAAAGAGAAGAAAGAGGTGCATTACATGCAGCTTTTTAAAAACCAAAACAAGAGGATAAAGAACAACCGTCTGATTTTTGTTCACAATCAAACCCTGGTCTAAGTCGCCAAGACCTAGGAATATCTTGATTAAATACTAATATCAGAAATCCGTCCGACATAAGACTAAAAAAAAAATATCAGAATATATAGACCTGCATATAAAATGTCCTATATAAGCAAGCTGACAGAAAAACTCTTTATGCTTTTATCAGTTTCTGTTTGAAGCTTTGATAACCTATTGGATCCTTCCTAGAAACATCATGGCAAAGGTTCCTAACAAACCCAAACAGGCACAAAGCATTAAGGCATTGGTTCTTATTTGTAAAAGCTTACAAGTAAGAATCAATCAATCAATTTATAATGTTGTTTGTCCTAAAACTGTAGAGACAAAGAGCATTGCTGTGACTATTATAATTGACAATAATGACATTTACTCTGACATCCATCAACTTTGCAGCCATAACTGAATGCCTGCACAGTTTTAGCCCCTGCTTCATTTAACACCAGCTTTCATATTGAATTTAAGCACAGGCTTTCAGCTAGCAATGCGTACAGCCGTACATTGTAAGCCCTTTACCAAAAAAAACAAAGACACATTTTTACGACATGTTTTTCCAATGGAAACCACGCTCAAATGTTCAAAATTCACAAGCAGCAGAGCTGGAAAAATTACATTTTATAGGCTTGACGTGCCACATCAACCAATCAGAGAAGCTGATCTGGAGCTGGCAGGGAGTCAGACAGTGTTCCTGATGCGGAGCGTTTATTAACGCCTAAATTAACTTAAAATGTCGAAACCTAATGGAGAAATGTTCGCTTTTATTATTCTGGTGCTTGCAGTTTGTGCCGTATACCTCAAAAAACGCTAACATCTACTTCCAGCCGCGACAAAGAGTAGGAAAAATTCCCTTAGGGGGCGACCCGGCCTGAGGCAGCTGAACAGCGAAATAACATTTTAAAGCAGGATCGTAATCTTGAGAACTGACAGCACAGTTAATGTTTGAGGTGGATTTTCTCACAATAAAAATATAATAAAACTACTTTTTACCAGCATAGCAGAGCAAATATAGCAAAGCCGCTCTCTGCCACTGAAAACAGGAGCAGCACAAGCTGTAGACGCATCTGTACACATCGGACCTGTGTAAAAACATCAAAAATAAAGCAGCAGATGCTTTTTTGATGCGGAATGCACGTACGATTCTAACATAGCATTACACTTTCCGATTGTTTGAATTAACCTATAAAACATAATATTTTTGGTAAAGATTCTCAGTCAACCAGGTCATAGGCATTCCAAAAAAGTTAAGAAACTATCCAGAGCACTTTGGCGTTTCGCTTCAAATCCAGGAAGCTTTTTCAATTTAAAAAAAACTTCCGGCATGGGAAGCGAAACTTGTTCAAACTTGGAAACAAATTCAAGTGGATGGTTTTTAACTTTTTTGGAGAAACATAATGTTGTACCTCAAAATGATCTCATGTCTTCCTTAGGAAGTTTCCACCTCTAGTACAGCACACATACTTCCCATAATGAGGACAAACATAGTGTTGTAACAAAGACAAAAAAAAATTAGCTGCATTCCAGCTCATAATGCAGGAAATAGTCTATCAGAGAGTCTAAATTACACATTTTTCAGGGGAAGGATACCCAAGGACCGCTAAAGATGTGATACACCAAGGTGTACACCCTATGAAGAAATCCTAGTTAAAAGCCTGTTTGAGCGCCATTCATGCTAAATGTTTTTGGTGTTTTTCTTCCACTGGATGTTGGACTTTTCTTCTGGACTTTGCTGGGATGTGCTAACTAGCTTAGCTACATTACTTCCTTGTTTACCCCGTGCACATTTTTTTTTGTAAATATACACTAAGGGCTTTATTTATCAACAAACTGAGCAAAAACAAAACAGTAAAACACAAAAATATAAAGTAACGCGACAGCAGATGCGTTAGTCTGACAGAAAAGCTTTGTTTGCAACCAGAGAGATCTGCTGGTGTATGAATTTCAAAAATGTCAAATAATGTTCCCATCCAGCTTTATGTTGTAAACCAGACCTAAATCAATCAGCCTGGGTGTGTTATTAGTCAGAAGCAACCAGTCACAGAGTAAATTCGTCCCATCTGAAGTCAGTTAGGATACATTTATGGTTGAAAGCCATTCTTTGCTGTTTGTTTCTAGTACTCACATTAGCATAAAACTCATCATTTTCCGCTGACAGCACCACCTCCCTCAGGTCTTTGCTGATTCCTGGGACTCTGGAAAGGTCGATCCGGTTGTTGTTCAGACCGAGCATCTCGTGGACCATCGCCTGATACGTCCACTGAGAGACACAACAACATCTCATGAGCAGAACATCCTTCACACATACAAACCTCCATCCAACACGGCTCATTTCATCTTCAGTTTTTACATTTTAAACAAAGCAAATTGGGATTTTTTTATTTTTTTTTACTAACTAGCATAATTACATTAATACATTTCACTTTAAAGAACAAAGACCTGTAAAAAAAATCTGAACATTTCAATCCTCATTCCAATATTATAGTTAACATCGTTTTAAAATTGCAAGAAAGTATTAAGAAGCTGTGGGACTAAACAACATTTTTTTCAGATATGCAATTCAAATCAACAAGCTGCTTTTTTGTAGATTTTAATATTGAAATATTGGTTTAAAAAAAATGAAAAAGTCGTAGATTCCTCTCAGAGCTTATGTATCAAAATATCTCTTCATGAACAAATTATCTTGATATAATGATGAAGAAAAGGCTGCTTTTAGAGTTGCTAAGTATAAAAATAAACAAAATAAATGTTGGGATGTGACTTTAAAGGTAAATAGTTAACATAAAAGTAGATCAACCAGCAGCAGATGCTTTATCATAACAAATTTAAGGTTCAAACTGATCAGCTTTATCATTTATGCACAAATATTCACTCACAACAACCTCTAACCTCCAAAAACTGCTGTTTCATCACCTTAACCAGTTAACTGATGAACCCGTGCAGGCAGACCTCTTTCTCATTTTTGCTTAAAACAGGAAATTGTTTCATTAAATCTCTGGTTGTATTCTGTTCTTAATTGTGCAACACAGATTTAGAGTGGGAGACGGGTTGGGCCTGAATGGCCAACCAACGTGCAGAGAGCAGCTTGGCATGATCCTGCTGTAACAAACACTGGTTAGTCCTTTTATTCTCCTTAGCTTGGATCACATAATGTCTATGATATCACTCAGACCATAGAGCCCAGTCGGGTCGATCTATTTCAGGAGTTTGGGAGCAGAGTCAGTGTTTCTGGGAGTTTACCATGTATGGCCATTCACTGAGCATGGTAGTTTATAAATTCACAGTTAAAGACAAAGGAACAAATCGTGTTATTTGACAGTAGTGTGCTGAAATACGGAAAGATGACTGTCATTAAATCATAGGTGTAGATGAACGGGACAACAGATCTGTGGGAATACAAGTTATGAATAAGAGTTAGGCGTTTACAGCTTTGCAAAAAAATAAAAGGACAAATCATAAATGTACGAATTTATGAATATGAATCCCAACTTTCTGAGTAAAAATCAGACGGTTATGAGCACAGTTGGCAGATTTACAGGTCAGAATCGTACATTTCCGAAGATGGAAGAAATAAAAATTAAAAACTTACAAGTAAGAATCATAAATTTATGAGTAAACATCACAAATTAGTGATATCTGTCACAGACTGATGTTATTTAATGCAAAGCATCCTGAGGGTTCAAAGGTCACAGCCTTTTAATGCCAGTTTTTTTACAGTTACTTCTCACCTATAATGATTTCTCCACCTTCTCTGAATCTATTGCCGATATTATGAACAACAAATTATGAAATTACTTAAATTTATATGTAGAGAAAAGCTGTTTAACCTGTTGGACTATTTTATTACGCAGAGCATAAAGTGGTGAACCTCCCTCTTTCCTTTTGCGTCAATAACTTTTTTGTGATTTTCCTGTTGAAGCAGTCAATGGTTTTAATATTTTCTCTTAAACTTTCCCATTCTTTTGGCGACACCATTCCAGCTATTTAGCATCATGTTGTGAGCATCCATTTCCAAATGAGTGAATCTTTGTTCAAAGTTTATCAGTTTGAACATTAAATACCTGAACTTTTCAGTATGTTAAATTGCTTATAGGTTGAAAAAGATTTGCAAAGCATCCTATTCTCATTTTATTTATATTCTACTTACTTACAAACTTCATTGAAACTGGAATTGTATTTGAAAAACAACTAATCATCACAAGAAAATGAAAAAAAAAACCCTAAGGTATCATATTGGAGGTGATTGTGGCTCTGTGATTGGTCACCTGGTTGAGCAGAGGCGTGATGGCGTCGTCGCTGCGGTCAAGGATCAACAGCAGAGGAGGAACTTCAGTCTTCCTGAAGTCAAACAGCTCGTACTCCTTAGTGATGATTTGCTAAGAGCAGAAAGATATTTTAGAGAATTAAGAATTGTCAGAATCTCATTTTTAAAGAAGCAACATGTTAATATGAGCCTTTATGATATTATTCATGTTATTTATTAGGATAAAACCTGAATCTTTTCTGTGTTTATCATAAAATATATATATCAGGTAAGGGTCAGAAAAAAATGATTGGATCATTCTTGCTTCCTTGAAGTATTTCACCTAAATAAATAATATGATTATTACAAAAAATAAGGGTTTCATATTTATTAATTTTATTTCAGATTAGCTTTTTCAATATATTTTCACTGACTAATATAGGTAATAAGGCAGTTTGACTTGTATTGGTCTTATTTGTTTGCTTGTTTGTTAATATCCCAGTTAATAATTTATAAAAAAAAAAATAAATAAATCAGAAAAAAAATAAACTTTTTTATTTCTAGGTGCATTTATCTTTTAAATCTCTATTAGTAATGTAGAAAATGAAATGAATAAGTTGCACAAACCTGTATTAGGAGTAAAGAACATATTTCAAAACCAAATTAACAGAATCCTTTATTTGATGAATATTTAAGACTTTTTCAGCAGGTATTATTTTTCCACACTTTTCAGATTTTTAAGCTGTAAATAAATCTAACTTTGTGCTTTTTAAGTGAGTGTTAATTTTAGGTATGCAGGACATCTCTGCATAGGCTGTGCAACTTATTTTGCTTGTTTCGAGGGTTTAGTTTTTAGTCTGTGGTTGTTTTTGGATGTGCACAAAAATTGTGTAGAAACTCCTAGACCTAGTGTTGCTAACTTTGGGCTCCAGGAAAGACTGAGGAACATTAACGGTAATAGGTGGGGGTGGAAACCTTGACACTTTCTGCAAGACGTCTGGCCATGTCAGAGGACAGCTGGTAGCGGATCATTGGACATTTCTTCAGGGCGAGCAGGACGGAGGTCAAACCCTGAGTGCAGCGGGACAACATGGAGGGTTCCCAGCTCCGACCCTAAATACAAAAAAACACCGTTCCTTAGAGAGGCATCAATCAGACAGTACCCCCACCACCACCACCAGCCCAGGGTTTAGTAGGTCATCCACCAATCAAGCACTGATCAGAGTCCATCGTTTTACCGAATTTGTTAAATAAATCAAAAGGAAGAACTCCAACCATTTTCCATCTTTAAGCAGATCACCAGCAGATGTTATGATGCACTTCATCCAGAGTTTTGCATAAATGGTTTGATTCAAACATCTATCTCTACCAAAGAACTGGCAGAGAAGTTTAATCCATTTAAGGTATTATTTTCCTAAAAGAAGTAAATCAGAGTCACCAGGTCACACCTACCGGAGAACGGTTTCGGCCGGAAATAACCTGATCTGTGCGTCTCTAGTCGAGACACAAAGGCGATGAAAGTAAACATGAGGAACAAACAAAAAACCTTCAAATGAAGAGATGGCCCAACGTATCCAACCATTGTTAGACGTATAACTCTCTAATAGCAGTCTGTCTTTGTATATATTGTGGCTGAGACAGACCCGCCTTTTATCCAGCTGGAATTCTCAAAGACAAACTGCAGGCACTTATGATGAAAAAGAAGGGTCTGTTCTGAAGCCAAACAGCGATGATGCAGCAAACTGAACTTTAATAGTTGTTCTGTCAGCCGTCTATCTGAATTAGCTCTGATTTTTAAGGTCAACAGAACATCTTTTCTGACATTTATCCATTTTTCCCCACACAGAACAGAAACAGCATCTCTTTATCACTGCACCAGTGTTATCGTCTTATTTTAGAATTAGTCATTTACCTTTTTTTGTCATCCTTTTACTGTATCTATTAATGTTTTTATGATAAATATTTAGAGGTTCAGGTTTTCCGTATTGTTAGAAACCAAAGAGCTTCCATCTTTCTTACCCGAGAGACACCCTGCAGGTTTAGGGAAAACAGGTGAGGATTCACAGCGATGAAGTCTCCATAAAACTCCTGGAGAAAAACATAAAATAAAAAATACTTTTACATTTTTTTCTTTATTCAAACACAGCTTTTCCCAAAATCCTTGGATTATTTGGAATCTAACAACCATATGTTTCAGATATAGTCATAATTATTACACACAGGAAGAGCTTACTTCTATTTGTAGGATAAAGTTTTCATCTCTAAAGTTAATTTAATTTCAAGCAATATCCTCATTGGTTACGACACTAAGTGACGAACCCCACGGGTAATGATGAAGGGGTGAGTAAGGAGCTTAAAAACCAAGAAAACACACAATGGGAACTGAACTGCTAAGTATTACAGAGAGATTATGAGAAAAAGAAGCCAAATACTAAATTTACTCTGATTTATAAGGACAGCAGCAATCCAGAGTCAAAATAGAACAAAAAAAGTATTAAACTATGCAATCCAGTTAAATAAAGGAGATAGATGCTAAGATGCTAAATGCTCCTCCTTTGCAAAGAGAGAGCGAGACAATGGTAGCTGCCCTTCCAGATCGATGTTCTGCCCCGTTCTGGTTAGACAAAAGTTCCTCCCACTAACTTAAACCCTGCAGAAAGGCAGTGAAGGTTATCAGAGCACAGTTAATCAAAACAATTACAGACAGTTGGAGAAAATAGTAAAATGTTAAGCATAAACCCTGAGAAAAGTCTAATGTAAAGACAATATTTTTCCAATGATTAGAAAAATTTTCCTGGTAATGGTTATCAAAATGTTTTTAAACAGAGCAACGGTCTTAAAACACAAAGGCTGCCCATCCAAAGCCCATACTGATCATCAGGAAAAAGCTAATGTTAGATTTCCTTTCATAAAAACACCAGTAACAGCTGTAATTCATGCAGGGTTTCAACACACTACGATCATAAAGGATGCTGAAAATGTTGAATGTTTTGCCACTTAGGGTGGTGCATATAAAAAAATGAAATGCTATAAGGTGCAGGGCTGCAAAAAAAAGCATAGCTAAAAGAATAAAATTGTAAAAATTTCCGGTATATTTTTGTTAAATCCGATCTGAATTAGAAGAGGCACAGATTAAGGACACATTTTTCAAAGAGGATGGAAAAGGAACTGAGGAACACAAAATCCCAAGAATGATCTCTCCAGATCTCACCTGGACTTCAGCCACCACCTCCTGTTCGTCTGCCTCAGCCAGAGCTTTGATCTCACTCTTACTGATCACATTACTGAAGTCTGAAACAGACAAGCATTTACAGATAAGAGGTTACAGAAAATACAAATAAATGTTCCTACATCTTTGACTCCATTATACTAATCTTAAAGTAACGTACATATGAAGTAGACACTGTACTTTGGTCTTCTCAGTTCCTGAATTAGATGCTGCACATTTTCCTATGGGAAACAGAGAAACAAATGTTTCTATCCCCTTTTTAATAACTTAAGGCTCCTCTTCACAGATTCATAGACGAGCCTCGTTTGGGTACCTTAGTTGGACGAAGGAAGCAGATGGCCTTCAGGTGCTTCATGCTGTCTCTGTTCTGAGAGTCAATACGTTCGAACAGGTAAACTTCCTTCTGCAGGATCTCAGACTGGGTGTACACCACGCTGACTATGCTGGTCTGAAAAAACAAAAACATGTTCAGCTTTATGCTCCCATGCTGAGCTTCATCAACGCAGCAAATATTCATAAAACTATCCTGTGTGTCAAGACGGAAGAAATCAACCCTTAAAACCTCTAATATTTGATTATTTTTCCTCATGCCATTTTTCTCAACAGGGTTAAAGTGGTTGAATCTTTTTCTTGAGGATTAGACCCGTCTGCAGTAAAAATAGAGGTTCTGTGGTCAATTTATTGGTGCAGTAATGCTTCACTATATCAATTTTAATTAAATATATTCCATAAGAAACAGTGAGCTCCCAGAAAGTAGAGGCTGAAATGAGTTAGACAGGGGGATGGGGAGGGGGAAATCTGCCAGGAGATTATATTTTGGGGGCTTAAGAATCCATAGACATCACAATGATACATAGTGACCAACATTTGTTTTCAGACTTTTATATAATACCTCAAACCGAATAAGAGCCTCCATAGGTCAATAAATGAATGAATAGATTCCACCTGTGTGGAGCTTAACCCTAGTGCGGATACATGTGAAGGCCTCAGAGGAAAGAGATTATTTAAAAAAAAACAACTAAATTGGAAAACTATCCGGAAAACTAGTGCATTCCTTAAATCAGTTCACAATACAAGAACAGAAAATGAAACAGTAAGAAGCTATTTCTCCAATTTGCCACAATTCACCCTGGGAACACAGAAAACAGGTGGAAAAATGAACTCCAGTTTGAAGTGACTAAATAAAATAAACGTGCAGCCAGTACGTATGGGTTGGAATAGCTGTATAGCTGTGTAATAAAATTGTATCTGCAGACGTCTGAATTTGTAAAAGAAAGCCAATCATAAATGTAGGATTTGTATTTGTTCCTTTTTGTCAACTCATAGATACATGGGACATCAAAGCTGTGGGAAAACAAGTTTAAAAGTTATGAATACGTGTTAGAAAGTTACAACAACGGAAGTAAGAATCTCAAATTTACAAAGAAAAATTATAAATTTTCAAGTACGATTTACAAATCTGAGCTTTCATACCTCTAACCGTGCGATTCTTACTCATACATTTGCGAGCTGTACTTATAAAACTGTGATTTGTACTTGTATTGTTGCAATTTTGTGACTTCCTTATTTGTATTAAAAAAAATCTTAAACTTGTATTCCCACAGATCTAATGTCACATCTATCTTTTTTAATCCAGCTTTTTATTGTCACTACACTGTCACAAGTACAACGGAAATTAATCTGCGTTGAATTCATCCCCTTAGGGAGCAGTGGGCTGCCGTTGTGCTGCGCCCGGGGAGCAGTGTGGGTTTAAGGGTCTTTACTCAGGGTAACGGTCTTCGGAAGCAGGACTGGAACTCAGAACCTCTGGATCCCAAGCACAATACCCTAACCACTAAGCAACCACTCCCCTTTTATTAAATTTATTGTCTTTTTTTAGTTAAAAAAAAAATCTAAGAATTGACAACAAAAAATTAAACCCTACATTTAATATTGACTTTTTAATTCAATTCAACTCAGTTTATTTCTATAGCGCCAATTAACAACACAAGTCATCTCAAGGCACTTTACAGTTCACCAGATCATACAAGTCAAATTGATTCAAAGTAAGGTTTTTAAGGAAACCCGTTGATTGCATCAACTCATTGACTCAAATGCAATCCCTCACACTAAGCATGCTTGTAGCGACAGTGGAGAGGAAAAACTCCCTTTTAACAGGAAGAAACCTCCAGCAGAACCAGGCTCAGTGTGAGCGGCCATCTGGCGATTGGGGTTCAAGGAGACATTTTGTTACATACTTGACTTTTATTTACAAATTCAGACACATACTGTTATATTACTCCATAGTATGCATGCTTAAAAAACTAACAATGCACCTGATAATAACGGTGAAACAAAGTGGTAGCTTAACTAGTATAGAATAAGATTTAGACCACCATCAGAGGAAAGCTGAAGAGGGGAGAAAGGGGGATGCAGGTAAGGAGCATATGAATCACAACATCTTTAACATCTTCAAATACCAAAACAAATCAGCAGAAACACCACATCCAACCAGATTAGTGCTTATTGTCGCTTGCTAATGCTATTGAGTGATAGCACCGTACTGCTACAAACATAAATAAAAACGGCGTTTTAATAGCAAAATGATAAAACGGCAGCACACATGTACCGAACCAGCTTCTCACCGTCTCTTTGTCCATGAGCAGAACCTTCATTCCGGGCCCACTGCTCTCGATCATCTTGGAGATGTACTGCTTCACCGCGAGCGTCACGTTCATGATGGCGACGCTGTGACACGAAACAGACACAGACCAACAAACAACGACTAAATCCGCTGTTAGATAGCAGGAGCACAAGTTCTGGAAGCTTATTGTGCTCGCTTTTTGATATGAAGAAGTATCAGCTGGGCTCTTGTGACACCAGTACAGTCTTCTTCCGGGTCTCTGACGTAATGACGTTCTACGTATTTTGTTTTTTTTTCTTCAGATAGACGCACTGGTGGAATAAACATATTGAATGCTGGATGCATAACCAGAGGTTTATTGTCTCAATCGTTACATCTTTCTTTACATATCTGCTACCTATCTCTATCTCTAACTAAATAAATAGATGGTTGATGCCTATTTAAAAGAAATTGTTCAATGTTTATGCTGTTGCCCTTTTACAAATGTATGTATTTGCACACATATAACTTATATTTCAGATCATCACACACATTTAATTGTTAAAACCCTATCTATTCCTATAAATTACATACTTTTAAATTATTATGTAGCTACTGAGAAAAAGCTTGAAACCAACCTTCCCCTAAGTGAACATAATTGACTCACATAACTTAAGTTTTGGTTGGGACAACATCTGTTATGACTAACAGTAAGCCTTTTACATCCCTGGGGAGGAACGGTGACCCCTCCCATGGACGAAAGGTTCAATTTAGCCACTCTGGAGTGTTTTCAAGCATGAACTTGGTGGTAAAGGTCACCTCATGGGATATTAATTGGATTTAAATATGGACAATGAAGAGGCCACTCCTA